ATATCACGTGTATGTATTTATTGTTTTATGCGAATAAATTACTATTACTACCCTTAACAGGTCCTCGATATTCAGAATTTCTGCAAAATTCATACTGCCAGAATGGAATCAGTTCCCAAACAGAAATGATTTGTGGCTGCTGTAAGATGGTGCGCCTCCACACTATGCTGTCTTAGTGAGAAACTATTTGGAAAATGTCTTTCCAGATTGATTGATTGATTGATTGATTGAGTGAAGAGAATTATTAGAATGTCTACCTAGGTCGCCAGATTTAATACCTCTTGATTTTATTTTATAGATATATTTAAAAAGTAAAGTAAACCAAATTAGATCAGAAAATATCGATGAACTCTTAAGCATCGAGATGGCGCAAATAATTCAGGATTATTGTCAACGTTTAGAAAGAACACAGATTTGAATAAGTTGTATAAAATGGGGATATCGGCGAATTCGTCTATATTAATGTGGATTTCAGCAAAATCACCGAAATCGTAAGAATTGCAGGTGATTCCTGAAATATGGATGGGTTTTGATATTAGAGGTTTACGACTCAGTTTTCCATAAACAAACAATTTTAAAAAATGTTAAGCATGAATTTTTCAATTCAATTCAAACAAAACTAAATATATGGATGAATATGTACAAACGGAGGTATATTTGTATAAATGAAATTGAATAAAAAAGTTTGTAGAATAGAATAGTTTAAAAAAACTAAGAAACATGCATTAATAGGAAAGCAAACCAAAAAGTAGAAAATCATTTTTAATAAATTTAAATTAAGAATAGTGTGATTAACAAAAGAAATTTCTTTTATTATAGAAAAGCGTGCACAAAAAAAGGTGTACTATATTCAAGATGAATGGTCTTATTTCAATATTTTGTTGTGTTATCCGCAAGTAAAACTCGTCTCGATTTGAAATTCTAGTCATACTTGTTCAACAATAGCTAATAAGCCTTGCTTCAAGATTAGAATCAACTTGCCCTAACCAAAATACCTCTAATTAAATGAAGAGTATCTATTGCTCAATTGCAGTATTATGTACATCTTAAATGAAATAGTTTTATACTTGTTTTAAATATACTTTATTTATATTCAATAATACCTTGTTCTTAAATCCAATACAACTAAATTTGTTACAATAATAACATAAATATATTAATTTTGGTTGAATTATAGGATAGTTTCATTGAAGAAATTAATAATATTGAAATAAGATCAGGCTGTTCTTGCTTTTTAATAGGGTTCTCACTGGTACCTATCCACCGAAAAATATTTTTCAAATTTGTTTTTAGTTAATATACCAAATTCGTCTGTCCTCTGAGGTGTCCCACCTAAAATTAAAAAAAAAATAATTTTATAACTTCAAAACCTAAATGGAACATAAAAGTTTGTCCTACTAAGATAAGTCGTATCTACAAAATGAATATTTTTAGTAAATGTGGGTAGGTAGATAAGTACGTCCTTTTAGACTTCGCAAATAAGTTTTGGATATTTTATATTTTACTAACCTTTTCTTATAATTGTAGTAAATATTTTCTAATGCAAATAGGCCTTTATTATTTTGTGTTATAATAAAATAAAATGTAAGCTTATTAAATTTCTAAAAATGTTGAAATCAGAATTTTCGTAGATACGACCTCTTGTCTTAGCAAGGCAGAAGTCGTCTTACAAAAAGTCGTCATCTAGCATCATACTTTTATTTTACTTCTATTCCAGTTTGTTTCGTTTTCTTATGATTATAAATTTACTTATATATAATAATACCTAACAAGAAGTAAACTAAATATACTTACATCTAAATATTGGTTTCAGGTTGATGAGGCCCCATTCATTTAAAAAATGTTCCAATTCAATTTAATTTATTCATACACTTATTAATTAAATCACAAAGAATTTCTAACAAAAAGTAAAATGCAACCCTAACGATACGATGCAAACATGTTAAGAAAATGGACAATAGGATGAACACGTGCTAATGCCAATTTGCCAGATTCTCTGTAAATGCGTTGTCTCTGACTTCCGAATAATAAGTATCTCAACATGTGCCAGTCATATATCTACCGTATCAGTGCAGGGGTTGCATTTTAAAATAAGTTTCAGCTGGCAACACCGTGCAGTGAATTTGTACTAGCTAATCTTTTGTGAAGTAGGTACATAGGTTTTTGATTCGAATTGTTTAATTCTTGTTCTGAAATTTAAATGCTTTGAATCGAATTCTTTTATAACATTGAATCAAGTACGCAATAGTCGGTTTTAAGAGCATATCAAACTTAAGACTTAATAAACGTAAGAGCTTTCTTGGATTAATGCACAATTCTATACTCCAATGAAATAATTTATTCTTAGATTAATTATTATAACTCTTAAAATACAAGATTATGCCTATACTTCACTCAACATTTATTTTCTTATTGTATCGAGAAATATTATTTGAAGCAAACTCTACTTTATTTGAAACAAATGTAATCTTCCAAGTGTAAAGCTTTTCTTGAATATAGATGATAATGTTTTTCTGTGTGGAGTGCTTGATGTAAAAATAGAGTCATTATGGAAATATCTTAAGAAGCACCCCACGCTTTTCTACAATAAAAGAATTTTTTTTATCACACTATTCTTAATTTAAATTTATAGAAAATTATTTTCTATTTTTAGTTTGCTTTTCTATTAAAGCGTGTTTTTTAGTTTCTCTAAACTATTATTTATTTTTTGTCAAATCGTAATAAAAACATTTACATCCGAATTTACAAAGCATATTTAAATATTTACCTAAATGAAAATCCTTAAAAATAATCATCTAACAAATTAACTTCTTCCAAAACAAATTTAATTAGCATGCCATTTGGGTGATTAATAAAATTAAAAAAATGAGGTTATGTTTCCTCACGTCATTAACAAATTAAATATTCGTTTATATTTTTCTGAAAAACGTTTATGAAATAAACAATGTAATTTTAAATAACAGAAGGTATGTGAAATATTAAACAATTCTATTATAGATTCGTTTAAATTTATCCATGTGTAACTTACAGGTACGTTTAGAGATCGTTTGTGAATTAGGCGGTTAGTGTGATACATGGTTGCATACAGTAAAAATAGAGATTTTAAAAATGAAATAAAAGTACCTGCAGGTCCGTATTTTATAAAAAATTTTGAGGAATTATTCGTTTTCTGAGCTATGTTAGGCGGTATTGGACCTTCAACAAAAAAATATATTTAAAATGTTTTTCAATCTTTCCAAATATAGAAGTTGAATATCGCCAGTTTAGATTTTGCCTAAAAATCTCTGAAACCGGACCTGATATTTTAATTTGGAATAATTCAATAAGTTATTGAAAAGATGCACATTTTTTCCCATTTAATTACCCTTGTGTGTGTAACGTTTAACTAAATCCCCATAGTGTTTATTTACATTTTCGCCAACCTATACAGGGTGTCCGGAAATAATAAGCAAAAAATTTAGGGGTTTGATTGTACTCGAAAAAATAATACTAAAGTTCATATAGTGTTTTTTTGAGAACTCAAAAATAACGAAATTACAGGATGTCAAAAAAATGTTTTTATGATTTTTTATTAATAACTTTTTCTAGTTTGTCGATTAAATTTGGTACACTTATTAGTAATATTGTTTTGAGTTTGTTATACATTTTGAAAACTTACAAATCAAGACCATTAAAAAAGCTTTAAAACATACAATCTTCTTTTACTACGATAAAATGAATCGTTTCTAAGAAAATCGCCGTTTAACATTTCCATGCAATGAATCAATTCCAATTAATTTTAGCTTATTTTTATTTATCAAAGCATGCCCTGGAGTTTTTTTGAAGCAAATAATTTATACAATAAAGTTTGACAGATAATTCTTTTAACAAGTTTTTTGTAAAGTTGCGGTGTTAATAATTGTGATAATATGAATAATAATTATTCTAACGTCGAATTACGTGACATGCATTATTACTATGGAGCAAGATGTTTGTATAGTGAAGTATTTCCGAATAGAAGGATACCACAGTCGCGATTGTTTAGAAATCTTCATCAAAGACTTGGTGAGTTTGAAGCATTTAAATCTGAACTTTATGATGTAGGTCGTCAAAGAAATACCAGAAGAAGTTCGTATTCTGAATTCAATTGAAAATAATCCTAAAATAAGTGCAAGAAAATATTCCAAAGACCTTAGCACACGAAGTTTTAAAAGAGCAAATGCTTCATCCTTACCATTTCCAAAAGGTTCAAGCCCTACTTCCTTCTTCATAACGGCGATCTAAATTTTATTCCCTATTTTATTTACGGATTAAGCTGGGTTTGGTCATGACGGCCCTATCAATCTTCTTAATGAACATTACTGGTCAGATGAAAATCCTCATGGTATAATAGAACGCGGATTTCAAAACAAGTTTTCGGTTAATGTGTGTGCGGGTATTGTAGAAGACCACTAAATTGGACCTAATTTCTTTCCACAAAGGCTTAATGGTGAAATTTACTTGGATTTTTTAAGAAATCGTTTGCCCATTTTATTAGATGTACCTCTCCAATCTGGTTGCTTCAAGACGGCGCTCCACCACATGTTATTTTAGCGGCGAAAGAATTTCTTGACGAATATTTTCCTGACAGATGGATAGGACGCGGTGGATGGATAGGACGCGGTGGATTTGTGCCGTGAGCTCCCAGATCGCTTGATTTAAACCCAATGGATTTTTTCTTCTATGTTAATCCGTTAAAAAGATGAATATTCGCTAGAGTTCGTTGGAACTTTTTGAGAAGACTAAATCTATGCTGTGAAGTAGGAGGACATTACTTTGAACAGTAATTTTAAGATGTTAAATTCTTTTTAATTTCGCTATTTTTGAGTTTTTAAAAAAACGCTATGTGAACTTTAGTATTATTTTTTCGAGTAGAATCAACCCTTAAATTTTTTGTTCATCATTTCCGAACATCCTGTATATGATTCATGAAGACCTACTTTCAGTTGGACAATGTTAAAATTTTGATTTAAACTTTCCAGGGCACCAGTCAAACGGTTAGCGTGGTAGTCCAATATAGACCGGAAGAGTACAATAGATTCGAAGCTAAGATCCATGACCTCAAACAACAGATGTCCCACCCGGTCACGGGGGGCACTTTGCTTAGAACATCACAAAAAAGATCGCTTTACGTCAGGTAAGCACCAGCGACAAACAAATACAATACAGCAGCCGGTTGCATGAACGTCTATTTAAATTTGTGAGTCTGATAAACTTTAAATTATTTTGTAGTCAATGTCAGGCTATTAAATTTTAATAAACGTTTCTGCAATTAACTGTTAATCATAGACATATACAGGAGACACAGCTTAACTATAGACTCCTCAACTTACCTATGTCCAAAATTTAAAACAGTTTTGAGGTTTATGTCTTCATAAGTAAGTTGTAAGTGTATTTAATAAAAATCAGGCAATGCAAATTTGATGATAACTTTTTAGAACCTACTATAACATTTATTTATGTAAACAGTTTATTTATTTTCACTAATTAATTTATTTGTACTAATTACACTACTAATTTATATTTCATTTACTTATAGACTAATTTACGTTGACAATATTTATGTAAACAGAACGATATCTAACTAAAACTGACTACTCCAATATCAAAACAGCCTATTTATACACATGAGTGGCTTCTAGAATGTTCTAGACGTTCATTCGATTAAGAATTGGCTCACACACCTTTATAGACTGGCGCGTTTACCAAAATCGTTGTCTAGGTGCTTCATCATCATTTCAGTACTTTCTAAATATATGCTTATTTCGACTGGCGCTGGCCATGAGTGGATCATATGGGAGTTACAGAGGATTTCATCGAATATACGAAAAAAATGGAGGCTGTAAAGCCCCAAATACGTAAGAGAGCGACTTAAAGGATTAGAGGATGGCCGAAGAATTGGTCGAAAATATATTTCTTTATTTTTATTTCTTTTTAATAGGTAATACTACTAAAAGTTTTATACAATGTTTTTGACGGAAGAAATCTGACAAATTTAATGTAAACAAAGCATATCTATTCCACCCGATATCTTTTCTGTTGATGTACATAATTTAAATTATATAATGACGGTTGGTCTTTAACACTATTTTATCGTTCTCTAAAAAAAATATTTGAAAGTATGCATTTCGTGACCGTTTTCTTGTTTGTTGTACAGGGCGTTGTTCGACTACGATCCGTTGAAAGACGACGGCCTTCCGTCTCGCGGCCTGGCTTTCCACTACGGTGACATTTTGCACGTGACCAATGCCAGCGACGACGAATGGTGGCAGGCCAGAAGGGTTTTGAATACCGGAGACGAACAGGGTATGGGCATTGTCCCTTCGAAAAGGAGATGGGAGAGGAAGCAGAGGGCCAGAGATAGGTCCGTCAAGTTTCAGGGACATTCGCCAAATATTCTTGATAAGGTAAGAATGATATGTAAATTAAGTAAAGTTTAAATTAAATATATTATTCCTGGTATCAATTTTAGATTTCAGTGCAGCAGAGAGAGAGAACGATTATTCAGAATTGTATATAAATTAAGTAAAGGGTCAATTAAAAATATTATTCCTGGTATCTATATTAAATTTCAGTGCAGCATATTTGCTAGTAACGCGCACCTTTTAATACAAATCCATCATATTTTTTCTATATCGGTTGATCAGTGTATATATGTCGTACAGGTACATTTCCTTAAAACTGAAACACATTAATAATGCACAAGACAAAGGAAGGATATTATCCTGCCTTTTTTATATGTTAAAAACATATTTTCAACCATTAAAACGGTAAATAAATACCGAGTACGCCACTGCATCAGGCACGAGCCATCCATGACGCAATACCATTATTTAATGCTACGTTTGAAATGTATCTCCTCGAGCAGATCGTTTAGATTTTTTGGACATGTGACCATCGAGCAAACATATAAATGGAGCAAACGGAGCTTGGATGTATTAAAAGAATGGTATCGAGTAAAAAATCAAGACGAGGTACTTTTCAAACGTAGTATTAAGGTGCGTATAGATATAACGCGCCGGACCAGGGCCAACGACGAGTCCAGGTTCGAAAAATGTGTACGATGTTGATGTTGTAGATCTTACCTTACGGTGGAAAACAACGAGCGGTTCTTGGGACGACGCAGGCATTTCACGGGCCGTTATATTTATACGCACCTTTAAAAAGACAAATGCACCGGATGTCTTGGTCCTGCAGACAGTTTTTGTTGTCTCCAACTTGTATAATATGTTTGGGGTACACTCAGAAAGTCACGTAGGTCCAAATCCAGACAAGAGACATGGCGATATGAACCGCGTCAGCAATAAATTTCAGAAACCAGTTTTAACAAATATTCATTTCATTTTAATCTGTCTCACAGTTGACATTGCAGGAATCAAAGAAATGCAATTGTGAACTGCAATCAATACATTCTGAGACAATATTTTTAACAAGTTGTAATTAAAAAATCATACACAATTGAACCATTAATCACTTTCATAAATCATTTTTGTGAAACTTACAATCCGTGTGTTTTGAACATCATTTTCAACAACTCTTCATCAAGAACTTCTAGACATTCAAGACAACCAGCAAACCAAATTCTTTTCAATAACCATGTCTATAAGATAAAGAAGTTTTACCTCTCTGGGTCCTAAAAAAATATAAGAAATGTAAATATAAAAAACCGTGAAAATATATAAAAGAAAATACAAAAATACAACAAAATAAACGAAATAAAAAATATAAAAACATAAAAAAATACAAAATAATACAAAATAATACAAAATAATACAAAATAATACAAAATAATACAAAATAATACAAAATAATACAAAATAATACAAAATAATACAAAATAATACAAAATAATACAAAATAATACAAAATAATACAAAATAATACAAAATAATACAAAATAATACAAAATAATACAAAATAATACAAAATAATACAAAATAATACAAAATAATACAAAATAATACAAAATAATACAAAATAATACAAAATAATACAAAATAATACAAAATAATACAAAATAATACAAAATAATACAAAATAATACAAAATAATACAAAATAATACAAAATAATACAAAATAATACAAAATAATACAAAATAATACAAAATAATACAAAATAATACAAAATAATACAAAATAATACAAAATAATACAAAATAATACAAAATAATACAAAATAATACAAAATAATACAAAATAATACAAAATAATACAAAATAATACAAAATAATACAAAATAATACAAAATAATACAAAATAATACAAAATAATACAAAATAATACAAAATAATACAAAATAATACAAAATAATACAAAATAATACAAAATAATACAAAATAATACAAAATAATACAAAATAATACAAAATAATACAAAATAATACAAAATAATACAAAATAATACAAAATAATACAAAATAATACAAAATAATACAAAATAATACAAAATAATACAAAATAATACAAAATAATACAAAATAATACAAAATAATACAAAATAATACAAAATAATACAAAATAATACAAAATAATACAAAATAATACAAAATAATACAAAATAATACAAAATAATACAAAATAATACAAAATAATACAAAATAATACAAAATAATACAAAATAATACAAAATAATACAAAATAATACAAAATAATACAAAATAATACAAAATAATACAAAATAATACAAAATAATACAAAATAATACAAAATAATACAAAATAATACAAAATAATACAAAATAATACAAAATAATACAAAATAATACAAAATAATACAAAATAATACAAAATAATACAAAATAATACAAAATAATACAAAATAATACAAAATAATACAAAATAATACAAAATAATACAAAATAATACAAAATAATACAAAATAATACAAAATAATACAAAATAATACAAAATAATACAAAATAATACAAAATAATACAAAATAATACAAAATAATACAAAATAATACAAAATAATACAAAATAATACAAAATAATACAAAATAATACAAAATAATACAAAATAATACAAAATAATACAAAAATGTATTACCTTACCTTACCTTTGTTTTTAATTTGCGTTTGACTTAAATATTTGTTTAACTTAGGATTTTACTCTGTATATTTATTGCCCAGCAAACATTTAACATTTATAATTAAAAATCCGGCATATATAGGTCACTACGGCCTAAGTCACTAAGCCATTAAATCCAATTAATAGGCCACTATTTTCCCTTTAATATCTAGAAATAAATATATTGGCAATTATTGGCCTATTGATGGGAAGTTAACGGGAAATTGCTGGCCTTTTACCATATTAATACTGACTGCTGAATAAAGGCAATGTGTCAGGAACATGACCAGACAGGATAGTCGATAGTGCCTTTTTGACCAGTAGTACTGTTTGAACTATAAATTCTATACAAAAACAGAAGGAATTTCAATATAGAATATTGTAGACATTTTATTTAATTCAGCTATATAATATAATAATACAGAAAAAATGTCTTCTTCAAAAAAATTATTCATAAAATATTCTAAATTAACATAAATACAATGAATACTGAATAGTGAATACCAGTAATGCGAGAATGGCCTTGTTCACTTGTTGTGTATATAACAAGCGATCATCGGTGTCTCCATCTATGAACGCGGGACGGAGCCCTCCTGGACTGTTGGTGTTGGGATTACGGCAGTTAAAAGCCTTTTGACTTTTACCATGCTTTTACCCAATACGGTTACTTACGCTTCATAAGGCCATCATCAAGCAACATAATGCTGGGCCACTATCGAAAGGCCAAAGGTAGGCTTTTATCTTTGAATCGTCGCACTCTTTTTCCCTTCAATTACAGCAGAAGGCCAGCAATATCTCGGCAGTTTATTGTTTGTTGGGTGTACAAAAGCAACTTACAAAAATGTATTCATATACCATTTAGGTAATTTTGTATCACAAATTTTATACACGGTGAATTCTAAATTGATACTTGTTTTACTGTGTATAGAAGTCGTTAAAATAAACATCTGTTTCAAACCACTTTTTTTAAAAAACTCAAAAATAAGAAAAATAAAAACCATAAATTTAAATTTGTGCCTGAACGAAAAATAATAAATATGTCTATGTTCTATATATTTTTTTTGTTTTTTTCGAATATAAATCGCGAATATCGTAACGCATAGTTCAGTAGTGTGTTTATCTGTTCTGTTTGGTAAATTGAAAATTAAGAACAAATTTTATATAATGTTATCGAAAACTTGTTATTGGATAAGTGCGCGAGTGATTGCATATCAGGTTGGAGAATAAGTCAAAGAAAAGTGTGGACAGCTGCGTGAAAATCAGTTGTATGCCCTTGACGTTCAACTTTTTTCCCGCAGAGTTTTTTCTTTGTGAATGATTCTTACAACGCATGAATGTAATCTAAATATTTCCACGAAAGTTATACAGTTATATAAGACCGCATTGAATACATTTTGGAATAAATTATAGTAAGTTTCTTATTTGTGATTTTTCTTTAAAAAGTTATTTATTTAAATGACTTCTACACACAGTAAAAAATATTAACTTAGGATTCGCCCTGTATATGTATTTTTGTTTTATGTGAATAAATTACTATTACTATCTCAAATCTATGTTAAATGTCAGGGTAACACTTTAAATTTATAGTTAGTTTAGTTAGTTTTGTGCATCGGGATTATTATTTACTTATATACCTTTGGAACTAAAATAGTTTAATTTGTAGTGTAAAATCTTAGCCGGAACAATCAAATAGTGTCCACCAATTTGAAAAACTATTCTATGCTATATTACATATTAGTTTATTTAATAAACATAAATAATAATTTATATTTGTATTAATTGTTTTTTTATCTATTCCCTATACCATTTTCAACTTAAATCATGAGATATAGCTATTGTAAGTTTTTAAATTTTCACCCTTTATACTATTTATTGCTATCCAATCCGTCCCTGTAAACGCTACTCTTTGATCTCGCTGAAATTGTGTAATTCGGAATTATATTTTTGAGCTTTACATTAAATTTTGTGCCAATAAAACCGCAATTTAGATTAAGTTTAAATTCGGATGATACTGAAATAATTTCATTTGTATCCCTTAACTTTTTAACATTTTTGTATAATAAAAGATCCGAAGAGAACAACAGGTTTGCAGATATTCCGAAATTATCAGAAAATACTGGAGCATGAATTTTCCACGTTAATTTCAAGCACGAGTTTGCCATGCTAATTCAAAAAAGGTCGTTACTGTAATCCTGATTGAGCTAATTGGAAACGGTACTTCCCGATTAAAGGCATGTCTGTGTCAAATCAAACTAAATAACGATTAGGTGTGAAATAGGAAACTCTGCATTTTGATATAGAGCCAGGCCGCCCTCAAAGCAATGCAAAGGGTAGAAATGAAATCTAAACTAGATTTGAAATTCAATCACCTTCTGGCAGAATATAAATGATCGGTTTTGAGTGGTTGCAGGAATACTGCAGTTCTTTTTTATTCAAATACGAACATATTGTTACGCAGGTTTTTGTTATCTCAATTTATTTCAACTCAACTTTTACAATAACGATACAACTGATAACATTAACGCACAACATCATAAAACTGACTGACTGACGTCAGGATCACCGACATAGCGACATATATAGCTTGACATTCTCGAACCTTCTCGAACTGTCGTAGATTTTTCTGGATGTGGAATGACATTTCTCGAATGTTCCCCTTCTTCTTTTACTCGAACCTTTACTTATGACGACCGCAGCACGTTGCAGGGTACTGCGTAACATTGCTTCCTCCTCTCTAGTTATTCGCCCCGAATAACTTGATTACTGGGACCTGGTTGGAACTAACGGGGAGGATCTGGACCACGGCATGGCGCTAACTTTCCAATGTAAACTACCTTGAATTTACTTCCCGCTGACAGCTGAATGCGGTAGATCAGGTCGTTGATTTTTCCTTAAGGACGGCGTAGGGGCCTTTCAAGTTCCGTTGCAATTTCTGACAATTTCTGACAAAGTCCTCCTCGGTGCTTAGCATTGCACAGCCAAACTGGGTCGCCTCTCTCAAGATGTATCCCTGTGGCACGCCTGGCGATGCTAGGCTTCTGCTTTATCGCTGTTGGCATTCAGTCGTTCCCGAGCGAATCTGTAGACCTTTGTCCTGTCATTGCATACATCACATTTTTTACACCAATCCGCTACATCCCGTCGGCAATTGACCCAATAAAATATTTCCCGAACTCGTGTCGGGTTTTTTTAATACCAAAATGTCCTTCCGAATGGCTGCTATGAAGCTCCTTTAACACTCTTCTGACGTGATTTCGGCAATACCACATGGCGGGCTACATGTACTCCATCAGGACTTTCCCACTTCCGGTGCAATAGGCCATCGTGAAGATACAGGGAATCTCACTAAGTCCAATACTCTTTAAGAGCTCCAGTGTATTTGGCCTTCTCTTGCCAAGTAGGTGACTTTATTTTTGAGCCATTCTCGGACAACCTTCAAGTCATTGTCTTTCTTCTGTCCCTTTCTAAGGCTTTCAAAGGTTATTTCTTCGTCTTCGCCCTCTGTCTTGATGATAATTGTCCGAAGGGTAACTTTATCAACCGATTCCTCTCGTTCTCCGAGCCCTTTACTGTGCCGGCATTCTCGTTCTAAACAGGGTCGCCTGGAGAGAATGTCTGCGTTGCTATGGAGACGGCCTCTTCAATGCTCTACTTCCTGGTTATGGCTAAGGTGTGGGTGATTGGCTTCTCCGGGACTTATAGCTGCTGTAACTATTTCTTGTTAGACTTCGTGATGGGCTTTGGGAAATTAATCTATGTGACTTTCTGACCTTATTCCTTGATTCTTGATTTATAGAGCTAGCCTTGCTTCTACAGGTCCTTTGAAGGTGCCCGATTCTTCCGCAATTAAAGCATCTCCTGCTTCCATCTTGGCTGTTTCGTTGCATATTTTACAGGATATTTAAAATGTGTGAGAGTGTAGGTTGAAGAATAGTATTAGTATTGGCTTTCTCACTTTCCTGGGACTTAATTTCTCTCACTCTTGCGCGAGAGGAGTTTTACCGCTTAATATTGGGCTGCAATCAGTTTCTCCCTCAGCGTCTTGTGATGTTGTAGACAAAGGGCTTGCCATTTCCACATCTTGTAGTCCATTAATGAATGCCTATATTCCGATTTGTTCTTGGACATCTTTGGACGTCTGCGGATAGGCCAGTTGTAGCAATCTTTTAATATCAGCTTCGAATTCTTGTAGACTCTCATTGTGTTTCTGACTACGAACTTTTAGCTGACTTTGGAATACCTGTTTCAAATGCTGCTGGCCATATCTTGTCTCCAACGCTTGGACAAGAAATGAATAACTGGGTTCTTCTTTGGGAAGTCGCTGTAAAACGGTTGCTGCCTGACCTCGCAGTGACACTATCAATGAAGCCGGCCCAGTCATTGGCTTTAGCTGCAGCTTCAAATTGGAGTCGATATGTTTCCCACGTTGTCTGACCGTCAAATGTGGATGGTTTCAGGGTCTTGCTACTATTGTTTTGTGAGACTGGGGTTTGAATACAGCTTGGGTCGGTTACAAATAAGGACGAGGTAGTGTTTTCAGCTTGAATGTTGCTTACGGAAGCTTGGCCATTTCAGCTCTAATTTGCATTTCCAACTCTACTTTAGCCTCTTTTTGTTGTTTCAAATTAACTTTCAAATTTTCTTGTTGATGTTCTAAATTAGTCTTTAAATTTTCTTGTTGTTGCACTAAATTAGTTTTTAAATTCTCTTATTGTTGTTCTAAATTCGTTTTTAGGTTCTGTAAATTGGTTTTTAGATTCTCTTTCTGCTGTTCTAAATTGGCTTTTAGATTATTTTGTTGTTGTGTTAAAAGATCCACTCGGATGTTTAGCTGACCTACATTTTGCTTAAGGTTTTCTTAAATTTGCAGCAAACCATTCATAATTTCTACCTGAGCTTTTCTACGCATCTCTTTCTTCTCTTTTTCCTTTTCCTCCTCTTCTTCCTTCCTGCATCTCTCCTTCTCTTCTTGCCTTTCTTTTTCCTCCTCTTCTTTCTTCCTACGCCTTTCCTTTTTCTCTTCTCGCCTTTCTTTTTCTTCCTCTTCTTTCTTTCTACGCCCTTCCTTTTCCTCCTCTTCTTCCTTCTTATACCTTTCCTTTTCCTTATCTTCTTCCTTCCTACGTTTTTCCTTCTCCTCTTCTCGCCTTACTCTCTTCCATCTTCAAAAATCATGCTGGTAGGCCTGACGTATCCATACCTGCTTCGTAACTAAGTGGATCTAGTATTTACCATGAACTTCTACTTTTTATCCCACCGCTGTCACCAATGTTACGCAGGTTTTTGGTAATTTATTTCAACTCAACTTTTACAATAACGATACAACTGATAACATTAACGCATAATGTCTATCATAAAATTGACTGACTGACGTCAGGATCACCGACATATATAGTTTGCTTTAACATTCTCGAACCTTCTCGAACTATCGTAGATTTTTCTTGACATGGAATGACATTTCTCGAATGTTCCCCCTTCTTTTTTTACTCGAACCTTTACTGATGACGACCGCAGCACGCTGCAGGGTGCTGCGTAACAACATTTTAACATGAGAGTTGGCAGAACAACTAATTAGTTTTCATTTTTCAGCAATCAACTTTAGATAGAAAAAAGAAAAATTTCTCGTTTAGTAGAAAATTTCCTTTCATGAAAAGCAAAGATGACAAATCCGAAGATGGATCAGACCAAGAACGTAAGTCGCAACTTAATTACCATTTTTTAATTAAAACTCCTTTATTAGTTATCTTTTTGAAACCAAATCTATTTATTGCTCCATTAATACTTAATATCTTCATTTAGATTTTACATACTTTTTTTAATTTATTCTTTTTTATTATTATTATTTTGTTTTGTTTAAATGGCATGTTTTGTAGAAACTACAAATTTAAATCCTCGGCATGTCTAATTTTTTTTATAAAAAATATATTTAAGTACATAAAAGCTTGCTATTATATTGGGAGTTTATTCACAAAACATGCTATAATTTTTTTTAATTTTTTCTTTTTTTATATTTTAGATTTTAATTTTTTTGTACCTTTAGAACCCAATTCTGAACAACTTAACCACGATAATGATAACGAAAAAAATCCTCAATGTAAGTATTTAACAATGCTTTTTTTAAATATACAGTGTGTCTCACTGAACCTTCTACTTTCCCAAGTGAGACAAATTGGATATACATCTATTTTAATGAAGTTTTGATAGTAATTTCGTATTTAATACTAACCGGCTTGCTTTCCACTAACCGTTTTGTATTATTTGTGGCACTAACATAGGCGTTTGAGCAAGAAGTAATTTTTTCAGTTGTCTACCAGTATCTTACAGGTTTGACGTCGTTTAACATTTTCGACATTTCTAACAGTTCAAAGCTCAGAATGAAACCTGGGTCTTCCGATCTTTTTCTTTTCAGCTGCACAAAGTAGTGTTCTTGTTTTTTATTATTTTTTTGGAGCAAACATTTTTGTTTTTTAAGTATACGAAGTGTTTATTAATTGGACATTTTTTGAAAGGTTAAATTTTCTTTAAAAATGCGGCAAAAAATTACCGTATTAGTTCCACTCTAATGTCGTAATTATTGAGAAAAATTTAAATTGGACTACGCATAAATCTTAACAAATTATTAAAAAAAAGTTAAATTTGATTTTTTGCTTAACTTCTTTTTTTCATTCTAATACAGGATAATAATTTAAATTAAAAAAAAAAACATATTTTGCTGTATATCATCTCTTAGGGTAACATGTTAGTCGTAATGACCAAATATTAATAACCGAATTTTCTATAAATTGTGTTAATTCAGTGGCAAAGAATGAATGATTTAACGATTTTTTGTCAGTCTTCTCTACGCCCTGTATTTCATAAATATTATGACTAATTATTGTTATCCCTCATAATAAGACACAAAAAAATTCTAATGTATAAACTGTCTAGAATAATTTGTTTTTGAGATATATTGAGTTTCGTACTAATCACTAGGGGTGCAAAGTAACCGATTAATCGATTATTTTTTAGAAATATCTAATTGATTAATCTAAAATGATTGATTACTTGAATAATCGATTAATTCAAAATAATCGAATAATAGAAAATAATCAATTATTCGAAAATTTAATCGAAAATAATAAATTGTTTTTTATTTAAAGTAATCGATTGTTATAAATTAATCGCTAATTGATTATTTAATTTGATAATCGCTGAGCCCTTTCGATAATTCGATATTATAAAATGATGGTTTAATAATTACCTTATTAATATTTAAAATTAATAATCTATAAATTAATAACAGTCGAATATAAGATAAAACATCAGTTAAATAATATCAATATATCGATTAATTTAATAATCGATAATCCGATTATTCGGAAATAAACAATTTAACGATTAATCGTAAATAATTATTGATCTCTCGATTAATCGAAAATAATCGATTAAGCAAAAATAATTGATTGGTCGAAAATAATCGATAAGTCGAAAATAATCGATTAAGCAAAAATAATCGAATAATAGAAAATAATCAATTATTCGAAAATTTAATCGAAAATAAATTATTTTTTAATTAAAATAATCGATTATTTTAAATAATCGATTAATCTAAATTAATCGCCAATTGATTATTTAATTTAATAATCGCCGAGCCCTTTCGATAATTCGATATTATAAAATGATGGTTTATTATTAATATGTAAAATTGGATTATTACTAATAATCTAAAGCAAAAATAATTGATTGGTCGAAAATAATCGATTAGTCGAAAATAATCGATTAAGCAAAAATAATCGAATAATAGAAAATAATCAATTATTCGAAAATTTTATCGAAAATAATAAATTATTTTTTTATTTAAAATAATCGATTTTTTAAAATAATCGATTATTCTAAATTAATCGCTAATTGATTATTTAATTTGAAAATCGCCGAGCCCATTCGATAATTCGATATCATAAAATGATGGTTTATTATTAATATGTAAAATTGGATTATTACTAATAATCTATAAATTAATATCGGTTGAATATAAGATGAACATCAGTTAAATAATTTAATAATCGATTATCCGATTATTCGGAAATAAACAATTTAACAATTAATCGTAAATAATTATTGATCTCTCGATTAATCATAAATAAACAATTAAGCAAAAATAATTGATTGATCGAAAATAATCGATTGGTCGAAAATAATCGACCTCACGATTAGTCGAAAATAATCGATTAAGCAAAAATAATCGATTAGTCGAAAATAATCAATTAATTGAATAATCGAAATAAACGATTAATCGAACTCAATTGAAATAATCGATTAATCGGTAATTTAATATAATCGATTATTTATTGTGATAATCACCCACGGTAAACCATTTTCCACGTCTGAAAAGAAAAAAACATTAAAATTATCAATAACTTTTTTTAAATATTTTTGAAGATCTGTATCTACGTGTCCTCCAATTTTATGGTACATTTTTCAGTAACACCATGTGCAGAAAGTGTATTTCTGTATTCAACACCTTTATTTTAAATATTTTCAATTTTTAATAAGTAAATAATAATTAATTCATTGAATAAAAAATTATTTCATTCAATCAATTGAATAAGTTTCGAAATGTAACATGCCTTACATTACATTTTTATATTTGATACAAATGAAATCTTATTTATATTAAAAAATATATTTCCTACTAAGTAATTTGTATAATATAAATAATTTAAAATGTATAGAATAATTCACGTATCTCTATATAACATCTTAAATAAAATAAATCATATTAAAATATAAAAACACGTTATTTAACCTATAAACAGATTGTGCCATATAGATTTGTATTTTGCCCTGCAAAGCGGGCGTTCAGAATGGCTTCACCCGGGCATTTACCATCAGGGTGGTAGAAGACTATCAAATGGCCACTTCCAAAAATGGGGCATCCGGAGACACGTTATTAACCTGCAGGACTTTGACAAGCGATAACCAGGAAGTTTTGGCAAGTTTAGAGGCATGTCCTATATATGCTCCTGGAGGATGTACAATGGGCCTTCAGGCATCAGTGCTGTTGAGCAAACCCACCATCCCCACCTAACAGATACAGAGAGATGGAGTTAGTTTAAAATACTATCTGTAACCATAGCTCTTACTCGCTTACTCTAGGTGTTCATTTGTTGGTACTTTTTGAGAAAGCTAAGAATATGAACATTACATAATGACAATGCTATTGCTAATGGTACTGCTACTGGGAGTCAATATTACCAATCCAGATTTTCAAATATCATCCCAAATCTCAATATTTAAAATAAACTTATTTCTTTTTTGTCGCTATTATCTTTTATGAACTTCTAAGTTTGGTACCTACATATCATTGGCCTACTAGCTACGTTCATCCATCACTGTAGTCTAGTTTTCTTTATTCATTTTCAAAATTTGACCTAAACATTTGTATTCATTTACTTCTAATGGTATTCATCCACTGTTTCTAAGTTCTTATTATGTATGCATCAACTATTTCTAATATGTAATTTACTACTATTTCTAAATAATATGTATTCATCCACTGTTCCTAAGTAATATGTATTCACCTTTTTTTTTTCTAAATCATATGTATTCATTCACTGTTTATTATCTGCAAATTCATTTTTAAGTCCACCTGTTTTTTTCTTAGCAATAATTTACTTTTTTCTCACTGACTTTTTATTGACAAATTATAAAAATTACATCTGACATCATCCACATATAAAAATAAGGTACTACTAGATACTAGGCGCCCAAACACTTTTGACTACAACATCCTGCCGGCCTCATAAAGACCAACTTGGAAGCTAACTTGGCGACAGTAAAATAATTTTAATGATGGGTCTCCGATACACCACCTCTTGCTGTCTTTACGTCGATCACGCTGACGTTGCCATCTCGACCTGGATATGTTTTTATTATCTTTCCTCTTGACCATGAATTTCTTGAAAAGTTTTTATCAGTCAATCTAACCTTCTGAAACTTCATTGGTTGCATTTTCCTATTTATTGGGCAGATTTAAATTCGATACAGAACGGACATTAGAAAGTTCATAAATGTTGTTATTAAGGTTTCCCTGAATTTGTATGTTTATCCTTCTTGAAAGGTATCTGTAAAAGATGTTGAATATGTCCAAAACATCTTCAGATGATCCATGTTACCTTCGACAAAATGACTTGATAAACTTATTCTTAGCAAAAATTAACTTTTTTCTCCTTGACTTTTTATTGACAAATCAAAATTGATGTTGTAGTCAAAAGAATTTGGGCGCTTAGTATCAAAATGTTTCAATAAACACTTATTCTTAGCAAAAAATAACTTTTTTCTCTTTGACTTTTTATTGACAAATTATAAAAAATTAAATCTGACTATTTCAATAGACCAAATACTCATTATTTGGTCTAGTGAAATAGTCGTCCCAAATAAAACATGACCTTGATTAATATTCTGCTATTTTTGATGTTACTAAATTTCTAGAATATTTTACTATTTGATTCAACATAATTTTGGCATTAATAACCAATTGATTAAAGTTAAAAGTCTCTGACTCTTGTCAGATTATTGCTGTCACAATTATGTCTCATCAAATTGATATTAAAATATCCTCGAGATTTAGACGCAGCAAAAATAGCTGACTATTTATCAAGGTCTTGGTATATTAGTCTTGACAACATCATCCACATAATACAGTGATAAATAAAAACAAGGTATTACTAGATACTAAGCGCCCAAACACTTTTGACTACAACACCATTGATACCGACGTTTTTGCTAGTTGTTCTATCATAAATTATATATACATTGATTACAATAGAATTCGTGAATTATTCTATATGTTATTTCACAATCAATTTGCATACTCAATTCTTACATTCTGACAAAATAGAAAAAAATAAAACTACAAAATACCGGTCATTGTTATCTAAAACATTTCATTTACGAAATTTCAGATAATTGCAACAAATAAACACAAACAAAAAGTTTTATTTTCGAGCTTGGTATCTTCACGTTTAATGTTTAATTTTTCATTGCAGCTTTCATGCTATGTTATACTCAAGAGGATGCTAACGCAGAAGGTACAGTATCGATTTTGGCCAATTTTTGTACACACAATTATTATTATATTATAATGTTATTATGTAACTGAATGCATCGAGAATATTTGGTTTTAATACATACAGTGATGTTTTTATTTGTTGGCTCGCGTGTCTGGAATTGTCCTGAAACAAAAATTGAAATTCGTGGATTATATGGTAGTAATGTTATTGATAAAAATGTCATAAAGGTTTCAATTCTAATTTCCATTGTGTTTGTATCGTTATATATTTTAATAATATCTTTCGGTACAAATAAGCTTGGGAAATAAATAAAATATATGCATTTATTGAAAATCGTGACAATTTTTTAATAAACTCCCACGAGAAAAGCGCAACGTTGTTAAATTTGTTTAAATCCAATTAAATGTGAAAATTACGTATTTGGGACAATGATGATGTGCGGGCCGACATTTAAAAACCTTACTATATATATTTTTTTTCTTTTTTGGCTTCTTTCTGTGTTCAATAAAAGTACAGGTGAAATATTATATCGCGTCGAACTGCCCTATCTGGAAGAAATAACGCTAATTTATTTGGAAGATAATGACAAAGAATTTAGTAAGTCTTAGTGTTGTGGTTTGCATGTGGAAGCCGCCCGCAAGCAGGAATTATCAAATTTTTTCGAATACGGGTCCATTGCGCCAGCGTTGCTCCGACCTAAATTTGCAGAGAGATTTTGGATTAGTTGGTATCTTCCCGATAAAAAATTTTGACAATTGGCGATACTGTAACATATATTCTAAATACCTAGAGTAATTATTATATTTACTCTCAAAATAAAAAGAAAAACATCTTAATTTTGTAGAAGAACGATATTGTTTTTTTCTCTAAATTATTTAAAAAAATAAAATTCCTTAATACGGACTGCCACAAAAACTCTGCAAATGGGTTAACAGCTTCTTTTCTACCTATTGCTATTGTTGGCCACCCCCTATTCTTCCTACGAGATTAATGTAGGAGTACATCAAGGCTTGTTTTGGCTCCGACATTATTCTTATTACACATCAACATTTTATCAAAATGTATCCATTGCTTTGCGGATGACAGCACGTTGCATGCAAGTCTTCAGCCTATATTCCTTTGAGGTTGACCATAGAAGAATGATACCTGAATGATTTGTCACCAAGAAAGAAAGAAAGCAGTAACTCTTCTTTAAACATAGATCGATATAAACAGCTTTAACTGCTTTTAGATACTTCTGTAATTGTTTCAGTAAAAGGATCGGTCTTTTCACCTTCAGATAAAGTGCCAGGTAATTTTTATCTCCCAAGTAACTTAAAAAGTAATCTTTTCACTTCTGGATAAACCTAACTTCTGAATGATAACTTAACTTAGTTATGAAATTCCTGATAAAATACTTCACTGATGGATAAACAGGTAGCTAAATAACCACATAAGGTTAAAAACTACTGGATACTTATCATACATATTATTTATTTGAAAAAACAAAAAATTAATTATCTGACAGATAGTAACTCTCAGATAATATATCCGTCAGTTAGTTATCTGGAACTTTATCTGAAGGTGAAAAGACCGTCCCTAACAAATTCTGAAACAAAATGACACAGAAAAACCAAAAATAAATAATTTAAACTTGCTGCGTGTGTTTATCTCAAACCGACAGAAATTGGAGTTACTGCGGTTTTACTTCTGAGGGCACTAAATTTTAATCAAATGTCTACAAAGCGCAGTCCTGTATACCCTCACAATTCCCAAGTCATGATGTACCTAATGTAATTAAGTATCATCAGTTTAAGAAAATGAAGCACTTCTCCTCATCTAACTCCAATCTATCTACCACCACCTATATAAAGTTGGATCATCCTTGTTTAATAAAATCCGCTCTTCCTCCAGTTTTCTTCCACTTACCCAATCAACTCGAATACTTTTTCAGTGTCATAACTCGACCATACCAAGTCCAGCTTCAACCATCCAGAACTGATGTCTATATTTTAGAATTCGCTTCCCCAGAAGTTTTCTTAAATTGTCCAAACACCCCCACTCTCAACATTCAAAACATACACCAGCAATCTATTTGCTTTCAGTAAAGGTGTTTTCGATAGAAAGCGGTGGATTTTCTCATGGTTTATGAGCTTCAAAATGTGTCTCAAATTATGAATTAGAAAAAATATATAAATTAGATTTAAATGTATTAAACAAATTTTTGTCGTTAGAAAAACTCCTATTTCATAAAATATCCTTAGGAGTAATTAAAAGTGGTACATAAAAATGGAGACGGTAACCTCTTTAATTTCCTCCAGACATAATAGATGCAACAGTCTGATTATAGCGCTCTCTCCATTGGAGACCTAGGGCTCATATTTAAAGCACGCACTAGTCATAGACCATTAGAAAATCCACCGTTTCTACTCATATAGGTACAGTCGGCGCAGCCCAAATGTGAACGCTCTTAAGTTGTCTTGGGATTTTTTACTGAAATTAATTCCTGTTAGTAATCCCACAACAGTGGTTATCTAAGGTAGAGTACCTCAACAGCCACGCGTGTGTTTGGTTCCCTTAGCAAGAGTTACTGACTCTGTGTCCTCTTATCTGTTGCCAGTGAATTTGGTGTTTTGTGGTTATTTACCTGTTCACTGCCTGTCGGCCAGAGGTTTTGCTTATCACAAATACAGGTTCGGATCCTGTGAATGGTAGTTCTGATCCCTCTTTCATCAGCCTTTTCATTTCCTTGGATACCTTTATATCCTGGTACCCACGCTAGTTTTATGTTATTTCAGGTTGTCAGATCATTAATTATTCCAAGGCAGTTCCAGACCAGCTTCGACTCAATTATATTTGAACCAAGGACCTTTAAGGCTGCTTGACTGTCTGAGAAAATAAAGTTGGTTTGTTTTTTGTATTTCCTTTCCTTAAATTATTTCAGCATGACATACAGTTGTATGCTTTCCCAATGTCACATTTGAGTTTAACTCTATGTATGCCAAAGCCTGTTCCCTTGTTAGTTTTAGATCCATCCGTATATCATACGAGACCACTACGCAAGTATTTCTCTACCTCCGTATTTACGTCGTTCCAGTTGCATTTGATCTGGAAGAGTCTGTTGAAGGTTAGGCCGGATGTCATGTGATCTGATCCCATATTTAATATGGGATCATTATTTACCTCATATGTTATTCTGGTCTGTTTTATATTTTCCAGTAGGTTCCAGTTTTTGGAGATATCCAGCCTGTATGCACTCATTCTGGTCTCCCCCTTTATAACTAGGTCAAGGAGTGGGAGATTTATAATGATTTCCATAGATGTTGTTGGCGAATATAGCTAGTGGACCATTTTCGATTTTATTCCCCATGTTTTCCCAAATGCCCGTCTCTGTACAATGAGAGACATTTTACATTTGTTGATCACTTATTTAAGTGTTTGTTCCAAGTAAGTTTGCTATCTAGGATTAGTCCCAGATATTTTACTTGGTTTGTTCTTTTTAGTGTTCCTTAGTACAGAATCGGAGTTTCTAAGACCTCCTACCTCGTTTTCCGAGTAAAGGTTATGAGTTGTGCCTTGTCAGGGTTTCCCAATAAATTTTCCCTAACGCATCACATTTCTGTTAGCCTTAGAACTCTTTGCATTAGTTCGAAGACTGGTTTGGCGTTTCCTCGGATAAGGATGACTATGTCATCGGCGCATCCTTAGGCATACAGCCCTTGATTGGTCAGTGTTCTTAGCAATTTATCAGCTACAGTGGGCATCCCTGTAGTTATTAACCTGCATGGTTTTACTGAACGTTTGAGCCTGTACTTGCCGTCTACGTAATATGTCTTCTATTCACCAGCAGATGTTGTTTTTTCTATTCCATGTTTGCCAGAGGCAGCTGCCTTTGATTTAAAGGAGTCGTTATTAAAAACTCATATGTCAAGAAATGCTCCTAGTACTATTTCTTGGTTACTGAGTCCATCCTCTATCTTGGTCATAATATTTTCCTGATTGATAAGCATGTTGGTTTGTATGAAGTAGCCTTTCTATCAGAGTGATTTTCCGAACATCCTGATCGATCAGTTTTTCCAATTCTTTCAAAAGAAATGACGTCAGAGTTCAGAGTTATTGGTTTGTAGGCGAGCCTGTAGGCCTTTGCCAAGACATATGTTGGCTTAGGTATAAAAACCACTCCGCTTCGTTTCCAGGTATTGAGCCTACAAATATGCCGGGCCAGTGTTCATATTGCCTATTGCAGACAATACCCCATCTGGTCTCAGTGATTTGTATGGGCTGAATGTGCGTATTGCCCATGTTATTTTCTCTGTTGTTACTACCCGTTTTGCAGTTTCCCACCTTGGCCGGAGACTCTTTGAGAGTTCCAGTTCGTGTGGGTTTGGTTTGCTGCGTTTGGGAAATTATTTTTGAGAAGTAATTCTAGTGTTTCCATTCCATACATTTTCCATAGGGTTCAAATCAGGACTTTTTTCTGGCCATGGCAAAACGTTTGTAGTCATATAAATAAAAAGTTCCGAGGTTTATTCGGTCAACAGTTTTTATTTTTTATTAATTAAGCAATACATATGTTTCGGAAAAACATTTTTCCATCTTCTGGCGCAGAAGTCTTCCGCTCAGAGATAACAGAGATATAAGAAGTCATTCATAAAATATAATATTCATGATGCCAAGAACAGTTCGCACTCAAAACATTCTATTTCTAGACGCGGGGCGAGGCGACGAAAGGTGAGAAGTAAAAGAAGGGATACAGTGAAGAATTTTACATAGTTTTATCAATGAATTACTGCCCGAGATTTTACTACTTAACGTAACTTTTCTTGCTGGTGTAAGCCCTGTTGCCACTTCCAATCTAACATCACTAGGTTTTGGAATTTGTTGAAAATTATTACATCTAATTTAATGAAATTACATCTAATTTGCTTAAAAATGCCTATTTTTTGTTCTAATGCTCAATTAAGTCTTTGTAGGAAGTATTTTTTTATAATTATTTAAAAAAAATAATTTACATTAGCCCTTATGATCGAAAAAAAATTTAAATGTCTTAGTTTCAACCGTCTACAAATTTGTATAAAAAATCTTCTTTTAGAAATATACCTCTCATTTGATGAAAAACGAAGGCCTAAATGAAAAAAAACTATTCTTTATAAAAGTTTCGCCTATGTATTGACAAGGTAAAAGTACTTTCCTCATATTTGTTGCTTTTAAATTAACAAAAATATAGCAATAAACCATTAGTGATGTCATGGTTTTACTAGAAAGCAAACATTAAAGGCAGAGCCTGTCGACTCTTTATGCATCTATCTCAGTATTGAAATGTATGCAATCAGTTTGACCCCTCTTATATTATTTTATACAGGGATTATTGATTTATCCACCATGTTTAATAGGGTGTACTAATTACTTCAAGATTTCTTTTTTATTTTTAATGAAAATAAGAAAATATGAACAATTTATTAAAGGTATTTATTGAAGTATCAATTATAAACAGTAAGGCTATTGCTTTGCAAAATACAATAAATCCCCAATATAAATAAATTATAATAATAATAATAATAATAATAATTGGAAGGAAGTATATAAAGCATAAATTAATAATATTAAAATTTATAATT